AACCAATTCGGTTCACAACCAGAATCATGGAACAAATTAAGTTCGTGAACCGAGGTACTACTGTACTGTATTATTTAGTAAGGCTATTAAGGAGAAAGGAAAGAATCAATGGTGAATTGAATTTTACTTGGTTTTAAACTGGCTATGGAGTAATACTTAAAATGCAACGCTATTGCACTTGAGCTAAACATTTATGTCTAAAATGGAACGGAATTATAGGTAATTCTTGCTTTAATGACAATTGGGACTGGAATTTAGGTCACTAAGTGAATCATCACACAACTGCTTCACTTAGCAACTGTAATCCCAACACTCCTGCATTCTGCAGCTTGCAGAAGGAACGAGAGGCACCAAAATGGGGAAGGAACAAGAGGCATGGCTTGGAGAACAGCACAAGGCAATGAAGGCCAGCGATGTGGGGCTTGAGGTGGCATTTCTCAGTAGCGGCACTGAGGCTGAAGTCAAGGCCTTGGGGTGGTGGCAGATGGCTGAGAGTGCTAAGGGCCTTGGGTCTCTACTTCAACCCCTTGCTGCAGCCAAGTGCCACTGTGCAGGGCAGCCAAAAGGAGATAGATGTGGGGGGGGGAGATAGGCGGGTAGGGGAGTTGCAGGGCCCCTACAGTCATAGGTATGGGTGGGCACCTGAAGTTTGATCATGTGACCGCAGGGGTGCTACAATGGCCTTATCTTTGGGCATGGGTCATAAGTCCATTTTTTCAGCACCATCATAATTTCGGATGATCGCTGAACAGATGGTCATTATGCGAGGACTACCTGTATATTTATTAAATTTGTATGCCGCCCATCTCCCCTGGCACGAGGGAGACAAGTTTATACGTTTATGTGTTTAAAACACATGTTTATGTTTTAAATATTGTTCTTTTGCTTCATTCAGCATTGGTAGATCAACTGATATCCAAACTATTCTCAAAATATCTTAAACTTACTAAGTGTCTTAAAACTTACTATATGACCAATGATGGGCAGTCTGCGTATAATTCTGAAGAACCCTTTTTTTAATCGTGAAGTTAAACCTAAGGAGAAAAAAAGAAAAAGATTTTAATTAAAAAAAAAAAGTTTTCCAAAAATAGTTCCTAGCCCCACAATATAAGATGTCTAAAACCTCCACAGAAATTCCTGATGCTCTCCTTAAAAAGGGTGGGTACATGCTAAAAACCATATCATGGAAACTGGCTTTTTTCTTCTTTAGTTTAACTTGGAACTTGCATATGAGCAGTTCATGATCTGTTCCACAGTCAGCACCCGGCCATGTCTTTGATGCCATAACTGAGCTTATACCTCCTTGTAGCAATAATGTAGTCAATACATAGATGTTTATGCACCTAAAGTAATTCCATCTTAATACAGCAAATACTTAAGAGTTATGTCATATATAATCATCAACTGGAATGAGCATAGCTAATTTCTCACACTGAATGATACTGTCTGTATTCTGTCCTTATGAACAATGTTGATGTTAAAGTATATTTAATAAGCACATTGTCTTAACATACAACGTTTACATTTACCTCTATAGTTGAAGATACCCAGTACAAAGACTGACTTTGGCTTTCCCTTGTCCCTCTGGAGTGGTTGCAAAGAAAAATATGACTAGTGGAAACAAGCCATTTTCAAGATGTTTATGAACGTGGGTTATTTTCAGTAACTATAGTTCAAATTAGCCACATTATAAGGTTTGCAGCACATGAAAACTGCTGTTAATCAAAAAATTTAAATGAAAGACACACAACATGAAACCATTTGCAGCCCCAGAGTATCTCCAAATAGTCACTGCAGAACCATTCTTAGTGTAAGAGAAGGGGGGAAATATCAAATAGAAAAGTACAACCACTATAACTGTATTCCTTTAATTCAGTGTCATTTAGATTAACCTCGGCTTGTCATGTTCTCAAAACAGATCTATCTTCAAAGTGCCAAAAAGGTCTTTAAAAGAATTATCAGCCCTTTAAAAAGGAATTCACATCAGAACCATACTGGGCAAACTATATGTAGAGAGGAGGGGGGAGAGAGCGCACACCCATGCATCTAGAGTTGCATTGGTGAGATGGATGGTCATATAAATCAATATGTGAGTGAGTGAGTGAGTGAGTGAGTGAGTGAGTGAGTGAGTGAATGCCTGGCACTTTGAAGATGAGTCTTTCCTTTTTTACAAATGAAAACTAGAGCTGAGTCTCCTTTAACGTTCTTGTTGTCAAAACCCATACAAACTGTGGCTAGTGGAAACAAGCCAATTTCAAGATGTTTATGAACGTGGGTTATTTTTATTAGCTATAATTCAAATTAGCCACATTATAAAGCTTGCAGCACACAAAAACTGCTTTTAATCGCAAAGAATGAGGGAGCCCGAAGCTCATCCAGACTTGGTCTGTGCTTAACCTTATGGCCAAATGCTACGATGGCCTTGGGAATCAATTAAAAGGGGTTTGATGAAAATTTAAGTCTCGTTTTCTTTCTACTGTTTAATTTACTACTATACTTTCTAATCATTTGTTTACCACAAGGGCTAGCAATGTATTATTTGAAACAGAGTGGAGCCATACTTCAATAAAACCTGGCATGTATATGCGTATGTGCATATGTCTGGGTGTTCCTGTCTTGCTATTTCGTATCTGTTTAATTCTGGGATTGAGCTGGATTGAAGGAATTACTGAGGTGCAGAAACCATGCGTGAAGATCAAAAACAGAACACTATTACGATACTCCAAAGCATTAGGCAGTGCTCCACTCCTCACATGAGGTCGACGTGACTCTTACTTTCTGGCTGGAAGAGAAACATGTATATCTTCACAATCAGCAAGGTAGCAGCAATTGAGGACGCGATGAGTTGCCAGGGCTCCAGCCCAGAACACTTTTCATTCACCACATTTCTTGTTTGGTTTAAATACTGCAGGAAGATTTGATGGTACAGAGTAAGAGCATCCTGGAAAAGAGGACAAACCATAAAACAGAGAGTGAGACCAACTGTAAATGAATAAACTTACACACAAATTGATTTCTTAAAAATCTTTCTATGTGGCTTCCTTAGGCAGGCAAAATGTTGCTTTTAAGAAAAGTGACTGCACAGAAGCAGGAAGTTATCTGGTAGGAGCAACAGTTTGTCCCAGGCAAAAGGCACTTCCAAGTAACTAAAGCTCATGTGGTGGTTATGCTCAGGAGCTTTTGGGGAAGAACCCCCATCAGCTCACGAGCATATACAAGGAAGGCAACCCTTAACTAAAACGTTTGCTTGGACCCAGAAATGCAACAGAAGTCTGCAAAGCTGTAAGAACCTTTATATCACATCCATTTGGGAGAACTTTCATAATGGCAAATATGCTTTCTTTTGCCTTCTATAAAGCAAGGCCCTTAAGTTAACTTGCCAAAACAAGTTCAGCCCTTGGGCCTCAAAAATACAATTTAGTGTTTAAGATCCAACTTTGAGAATATGCACTCCTCCTACTTCCTTTAACATAATTTTCTCTCATTCAATCTCTTAATGATTTGCACTGATGACAAGCCCACTGAACACTGTCAACAGTTTCTAAGGTCACCAAGTCAGAACCCAAAGCAGGTTTGCAGGCACTGCTCAGGAATGATCATGATCAGCACCAGCAACCAACAGAATTATCTTTCTTGCTATGTTGCTTCCTGCACTTGGCACTGAAGGACACAATGGCACTGAATCTGAAGGTTCCGTACAATCCTCATGACAAATGGCCATTAACAGGTCTGTCCTTTTCCATGCAGTGGTTAGGCTCCCTAAAGGTCTTGTCCATCAAGTATAATCAGGAAAAACAAAACAAAGATGGAACTCTTGGCCAAAGGATCCTCAAGGAAATACCTTAATACGGTGTTTTTCAACCTAAGCAACTTTAAGACATATGGATGTCAACTCCCAGAAATCTCCAGCTAGAATAGTGGAATTCTGGGAGTTGAAGTCCACATGTCGTAAAGTCACTGAAGTTGAGAAACACTGCCTTAATTGATAGGAGTATAAAATCAGAAGCACCTCATTGAAGCATCAGAAAAAAGATTTATTTATGAAAGTGCCCTCTCCTCAAGGCAGACATTAGCAGAAAGGTACAATAAAGCTATCATAAAGATAGGTAAAAGTTGTACCATTCAGCAAAAGATAAATTTAAAAGTGAAAATACAGTAAAAAGTAAAGTGTCCTTCAAGTTTAACTTAATTCCTCGTAAGAGTAAGGATGCATCCACCCATGTCATTTTCTAAATAACAAGACAGTCTCACCTCTCTTGGGAAGGGCTTCAACTGGGGTGTTGCTACTTAAAAGGACACCTTGGGTACCCACCAACCTAACCTCTTTAGATACAGAAAATTTAGAAGGATTGCCAATGTCATGTAGAGGCACATTCATTATAAATTAAGCAATTCCTTGCACCAGTTATCCTTGAAAGCTGGTTTGTAGATTTCAAATTCTTGAATAATTATCACACCTGCATACAAGCTTTGAAGGCACTAGAGAGTGTTAAACCATCAATTTTATTATGTTGCTGACTTAAGGATGCTAACACAAGCATCCAGAATACAGGTAGTCCTTGCTTAACAACCATTCATTTAGCGACAGTTCAAAGTTATGACAGCGCTAAAAAAGTGACTAATGACCAGTGCCCACGACTGTCGCAGCATCTTGGGGTCACGGGATCACCATTTGCAACCTTCCCAGCTGGCATCTGGCAAGCAAAATCAATGTGGAACTGTGGGATTAACTTAATGACCATGTGATTTGCTAAACAACCACATGATTCATTTAATGACCATGGTGATTCACTTAATGACCACCATAAAAAGGTTGTAAAATTGGGTCCAGTCACATGATGACCACTTAACGACCATGATGATTCACTTAACAACTGCTTAACAACCGCATCGCTTAGTGACCTAAATTCCAGCCCCAAATGTGGTCATTAAGTGAGGACTACCTGTATACTAAATGCACCACAGTTTTCCCCAACTAGGTGCTCTCCAGATGTATTGCAATACAAAGCTCATTATCCCTAGCCAACTTAGGTGAAAATGATAAACGCTGAGCCTCAACACATTTGGAAGGCAGATGGGTGGAGAAGGCTAGAAATCCTCTTTTTGTGAGAATATAAGCAGGCTGTCAAAAAGCGTCCTCAATTATCACCTAAATGAACATTAATCCAAACCAAACAGCCTCAATGTTCTTAGCAGAAAGTGGCTGCATTATCCCTTCAATTATTCTACATTAGAGCTGGATAAGAATGAACTTTTCCCATGGAAGTAATCCTCTAGTTTTCATAAATGCTGTACACAATGACTTCAACCCTAGATAACACTGATAAGCATTGCAAGATGTTTTGCATGACCCTGAGGTCCAACAGCAACTCTGAAAAGTGTAGTTTCTGAAATTAAGCTTGCTTTATTTACTATCATTATACCCTGTAAGTAAAATGAAAAAGTACTCTACTGCAAGAATTGTGGTACATGAAAATTATTTCCAAGATCATTTTCAGGGCTACATGAGCTTCAATAAAAGCAGATCTATAATTTTCCATCTCTGTAGTCATACAGTTAACCTTTTAAGACCATAAACTATTCCCCCAGCTCTATTTTATCCAGCTCACAGGAAAGCTATGCTCCAGAAACATACATTGGTGCTGCTGCACTCTACTCTTCAAACCTGTTCTTCAACTTCTAGCTGACTTAAGCTCATTTTAAAGCAGGTCTTGCCAAGGTGTGGTATTCTGCATTAATTGGGATCTGCACAAGAAAATGGATCTACAACTTTCTTCAAAAGCATGCCCTCCAAATGTGCTGAACTACAATTTGCATCGTTTCCACACAACATGGCCAGCAGCTGAAAATGATAGGAACTGTAATGCAATGCGTTTGGAAGGAATCAAGACAAGGATGGTTGGACAGAGTTTCATTCCACGCAGGTTCAAAGTTGATCCCCTTGGTATTATGGAAAGTCCACGTCAACTACTACATTTTAAACCTCTACACCTTCTCACAGGACTGGCCAGGCTTTTTGTCAAAACTGATGCAGAAAGAAATAACATTTAACTGTACAGTAAGAAGTACACCCATCTGTAAGCAGCTAAATTAGATGAGACAGTAGGCAAATATTTCTCATTAGGGATAGGACTATTAATTTCAGTATTTATATTTATATTAACAAATGGGGCTTCATTACATTTTGTTTCACCAATTAAGCACTAATGATCAATATAATAATAATGATGATGCTTGATTTTGGCTGCTGAAAAACAAGCTATTCGAACTGATGCAATCAAGGCCAGAATTGAAAAATCATCAAATGATTCAAAGTGCAGATTGTGCAAAGAAGCAGAACAAACAGTAGATCACATGCAGTATTCAGCTCTTGCAAGAAAACTACACAAACTGACCACAAACAATGACATAACAAAGTCAAAATAATTCATTGGAACATCTGTAAATGATTCACTGGCGCATCTATAAAAAATATTTACATCTATAAAAATTAAAAACTATGACAAAGTCTTGGTGCATAGCACCCCAGATTTAACTGTGGTTGAAAAGAAGGAAGTGTGGATAACTGATGTGGCAATACCAGGGGATAGCAGAATAGAAGACAAAGAATTGGAGAAGATCACAAAGCATCAAGATTTGAAAATCAAAACTGAAAGATTATGGCATAAACCAGCAGTAAACCAATAAACCAGATAATCCCAGTGATTATCGGCACACTGGGTGCCACACCAAAAAGCCTTGGAAATCTGCTCACTGACAAAAATTTACATCTGTCAATTACAAAAGGCCACACTACTTAGATCCACACATATACTACATCGATACATTACAACATCCTAAATTCTTGGGAAGAGCTTGATGCAAATAAAGGCCAACACTAGCTAAAGAACTGGCAGCTGCGAT